CCCCAAAACCCCAAAACCCCTAAATGAAAAAATAGATAATTTATGGATAATTATCTAAATATATTAATATTGAAATTATAACATGTTGATATATTAATTATAAAAATAAATGTAAGGCAAGAATTCCAAACATACTCTAGTTAACCAAAGTTAAGCAATTTATACCGTTTTGATATTCTTGGATTAATCACAACTTATTGAGCTATAATAAGTTTGTAAAAGATTCTATGCCAAAATAGTGCCTTTGGCTATGTAATCATAAGGAGGATTTATGGAGGATTATCATAATCTACCTATTTTTTTTGAAGAAAAAAATATTTTGTACTATGTTAAGCATTAATTATCTGATGAAAATATAAGGACATCTGAATGGAAAAAATTAGGGAAAATGCGGAATATGCCTGATAATGATACTGTTACCTTAATTTTAACTCCTTAAAACAGATTATTTATGATGGGAGGTAAGTGATTAGAACTTATGCCTGATAACGATGAAATCTTCAAACCAGTTAGCGATACTTTTGAAATTCACTTAAATAGGTAATCTATGATTATAGAACAAGAATTTCTTAATGTAGCTTAGAGAGCGAGCATGCTTCAAGAAAGATATTGCTTTGGTAGTTGTACAGCTTATCGTGGCAGGTATATAGTTGCAGTAGGAGGAGCTTTATCCGCTTTCACTTAGACTGGAGCATGCGAAATTTATGATGCAGTCAAGGATAAATGGTATCCCCTGCCTACTCAAAATGAAGCCAAGTTCTCTGTCATGCTAGTTAATGTTAAGAATAAGTTCCTGTATTCATTTTGCGGTACTTCTAAAACTTAAAATATGAATCATAATAGACCAAACTCAACCATTGAAAAGTTAAATATAGAAGTGTGCTTTTAGTTATAATCGTAATTAGATTTTGAAAACTATTAAAAGATTATTGAAACAAAAAAATGGGAAATCTTAAATATTGATTAAAAAGATGAAATTTAACCCATGATTATCTCTTAAGGCTTTGGATATTATGACAGACTGAACTAGGAGATATTGATATATGGTGGGACTAAAATAAAGTATGATACTACTTTAGTATTTGATACTTTAACTGAAAAGTTTAAGAAGCAGGTTATTTGGAAAGAAACTCCAAAGGACAGGTTTTTCTATAATAACTACAGTGTGATAAACAAAGGTAGATCTGTAATCTTATTAGGTAGGCAGCACATTCATGAGATTAATCTAGACGACTTTATGCAAACTAGATCAATAGGATATGGCTATATTGAATTACTGGAGTAAAATTGATGAACTTATTTAATTTCAAGAAGATACAAAAATTAATCAGAAATATTAATATTTTTAGCTTTAATATTTTTGATATTACTAATTGATGGGGTTTTGGGGTTTTGGGGTTTTGGGG